AGGGCATTAAGTTAAAGTTTTCAATTTTTAATGAAGATATATCAATTACAAATCTCTCATATCAGCTGATATAGTGTTGAGTTTCATAAAGCAAAAACCTACAAATGATGCATGGAGAAAGAGTCAATCATTGCTAGTAATAGGAAACTTTATTGGCCTTCAGCCTAGGAATATCTAAATAATAATATATAATAATGTATATATGATTGATATATACTCTATACTCTCAAAATAGGGAATGTACTTCTTATCAGTGCTCTTGAAATATTCAAAAGGATGACTGTACACTGAGCCACCAAAAAGCCTGGTGGGGACAATGTGTCTATCAAAATTACAAATGCATAAACCTTTTGACCCAGAAATTGCACCTTTAGAAATTGAACATATATACATACTTATACAAATATAAAATTATCTATTTACAAAATTACCTATTTTATATGTCATTACAAAATACTTTGTAGTAAAATATTGAGAAGGCCTAAATGTTTAGCAAAAGGTCTGGTTAAACGAATTTTTGTACAATACATTAGAATATGATGAACCTGTAAAGAGAAGTTTTTTAAGTACTAATAAAGATCTTTAGGATGTATCTTTACTGAAAAAGTAAGATGCAGACTGCATATACAGTATACTACCATTTTTCCCTACCTCAAAAAAAGTGAGGAAAACTCACTTATATATACTTCTGTATGAAGTATAAACAAATCTCTGGAAAGATAAAAATAGTGGATTGTGAACTGGACAAATGAAATGGAGCAGTAAGGAGACTTTAAAAAAATAATACTTTTAAATATGTATGTTTCATGTGAATTTATTATCTGCATAAACATCTAAAAAGAAATAATGCTAATTTGAATGCCTTTTATTTCTTTTTGTTGCCTGATTGCTGAGGCTAGGACTTCTAATTCTATGTTGAATAGCAGTGGTGAGAGTGGACATCCCTGTCTTGTTCCTGATCTTAGGGGAAAGGCTCCCAGTATTTCCTCATTGAGAATGATATTTGCTGTGAGCTTTTTGTAGATGGCTTTTAAGATGCTGAGGAATGTTCCATCTCTACACTCTGAAGAGTTGTGATCAGGAATGGATGCTGTATTTTGTCAAATGCTTTCTCTGCATCTATTGAGAGGATCATATGGTTGTTTTTTCCCTTGTTGGTATGATCTATCACACTGATTGTTTTAATGAGTATTGAACCAGCCTTGCATCCCAGGGATAAATCCCACTTGGTCCTGGTGAATAATCTTCTTAAAGTACTGTTGGATCCTACTGGCTAGTATCTTGTTGAGAATTTTTGCTTCTGTGTTCATCAGGGATATTGGTCTATAATTCTCCTTTTTGGTGGGGTCTTTGTCTGGTTTTGGAATTAAGGTGATGCTGGCCTCATAGAAAGAGTTTGGAAGTACTCCATCTCTTTCTATCTTTCCAAACAGCTTTAGTAGAATAGGTATGATTTCTTCTTTAAACGTTTGATAGAATTCCCCTGGGAAGCCATCTGGCCCTGGACTCTTGTGTCATGGGAGGTTTTTGATGACTGCTTCAATGTCCTCCCTGATTATCAGCCTGTTCAGGTTTTCTATTTCTTCCTATTCCAGTTTGTGGTTTTCCAGAAATGTGTCCATTTCTTCTAGATTGCCTAATTTATTGGCATATAGCTGCTCATAATAAGTTTTTAAAATTCAAATTGGCAAAGAAGAAGTCAAACTCCCCCTCTTTGCAGATGACATGATGCTGCACATAGAAAACCCAAAAGACTCCACCCCAAGATTTCTAGAACTCATACAGCAATTCGGCAGTGTGGCAGATACAAAATCAATGCCCAGAAATGAGTGGCATCTCTATACACTAACAATGAGACTGAAGAAAGAGAAATTAAGGAGTCAATCCCATTTACAACTGCACCCAAAAGCATAAGATACCTAGGAATAAACCTAACCAAAGAGGTAAAGGATCTATACCCTAAAAACTATAGAACACTTCTGAAAGAAATTGAGGAAGACACAAAGAGATGGAAAAATATTCCATGCTCATGGATTAGAAGAATTAATATTGTGAAAATGTCAATGCTATCCAGGGCAATTTACACATTTAATGCAATCCCTATCAAAATACCATGGACTTTCTTCAGAGAGTTGGACAAATCATCTTAAGATTTGTGTGGAATCAGAAAAGACCCCGAATAGTCAGGGGAATATTGAAAAAGAAAACCAGAGCTGGGGGCATCAGAATGCCAGATTTCAGGTTGTACTACAAAGCTGTGGTCATCAAGACAGTGTGGTACTGGCACAAAAACAGACATATAGATCAATGGAACAGAATAGAAAACCCAGAAGTGAACCCTCAACTTTATGGCCAATGAATATTTGACAAAGCAGGAAAGTCTATCCACTGGAAAAAAAGACAGTCTCTTCAATAAATGGTGCTGGGAAAACTGGACATCCACATGCAGAAGAATGAAACTAGACCATTCTCTTACACCAGAAACAAAGATCAAAATGGATGAAAGATCTAAATGTGAGACAAAAATCCATCAAAATCCTAGAGGAGAAGGCAACACCCTTTTTGAACTTGGCCACAGCAATTTCTTGCAAGATACATCCATGAGGGCAAGAGAAACAAAAGAAAAAATGAATTATTGGGACTTCATCAAGATAAGAAGCTTCTGCACAGAAAACGAAACAGTCAACAAAACTAAAAGACCACCTACAGAATGGGAGAAGATATTTGCAAATGACGTATCAGATAAAGGGCTAGTATCCCGATATATAAAGAACTTATTAAAATCAATAGCTAAGAAACAAACAATCCAATCATGAAATGGGCAAAAGACATGAACATAAATCTCACAGAGGAAGACATAGACATGGCCAACAAGCACATGAGAAAATGCTCTGCATCACTGGCCATCAGGGAAATACAAATCAAAACTATGATAAGATCCCACCTCACACCAGTGAGAATGGGGAAAATTAACAAGACAGGAAACAACAAATGTTGGAGAGGATGTGGAGAAAGGGGAACCCTCTTGCACTGTTGGTGGGAATGTGAACTGGTTCAGCCACTCTGGATAACCGTGTGGAGGTTCCTCAAAAAGTTAAAAATAGATCTGCCCTATAACCCAGCAATTGCACTACTGGGGATTTACCCCAAAGATACAGATGCAGTGAAACGCCGGGGTACCTGCACCCTGATGTTTATAGCAGCAATGTCCACAATAGCCAAACTGTGGAAGGAGCCTCGGTGTCCATCAAAAGATGATGAATAAAGAAGATGTGGTCTATGTATACAATGGAATATTCTTTAGCCATCAGAAGCGACAAATACCCACCATTTGCTTCGACATGGCTGGAACTGGAGGGTATTATGCTGAGTGAAATAAGTCAATCAGAAAAGGGCAAACATTATATGGTCTCATTCATTTGGGGAATATAAAAATTAGTGAAGGGGGATAAAGGGGGAAAGGAGAGAAAATGAGTGAAAATATCAGTGAGGGTGACAAAACATGAGAGACACCTAACTCTGGGAAATGACCAAGGGGTAGTGGAAAGGGAGATGGGTGGAGGGTTAGGGTGACTGGGTGATGGGCACTGAGGGGGGCACTTGGCGGGATGAGCACTGGGTGTTATGCTAAATGTTGGCAAATTGAACTCCAATAAAAAAACAAAACAAAAAGAAATAATGCTATGAGTTTATAGAAGATAAAGCAATGAATTCTTTGGAGGATCAGGGGAAGTGAACTAGAAGCAAGAAAAACAAGATGATAGAAAATAGTTCAATCAAGAGATGATAAAAAGCTTTAAACAATTTGATGACTTGAGGCTAGTATAAAATTTTGGTTTTCAAAGATTGAAGTGGAGAAATCTGTAAAGTTCCTCAGTGATTAGGTGGAGAGGATTGAGAGTGACGATGGCCCAAAGATAACCTAGCTTAGCCATGGTGTCTGAGTGTTTGGTGATGTCGCTAATCAGGAGAGGAAATGCACCAGGAAGTACCGGTTGAGGGTGATGTGGTATAGAAGTAAAATAATTCCATTTTGGAAGGGTTGTCTTGAAAGATACCTGCAGTTTATGGAATGTTCCAAGAGGCATTTGGGTCTCAGGACAGAGAAAAAGGGACCATTTCAAAATCCGTGCAGGCCATCCACATCAGAGAAGTTTTCAGCAGAGAGCAGAACCAACCTTTAATCAATCTGGACTCCCAGTTTTGAAGGGGAAGGATACTTAGAAGAGGAAAGTAAATGTTAATGTCCTAGAGAATCTGGCCATTGAGCTGGTTACCACACTGGTGTTTGTGGCACAGTAAACGTTAATGGATGTACCACCATAAAGGAGGTCCAAGCAGACCCCTAACTTGGGTCATATCCCAAGGGGAGTGGACCTGAGCCTGGGTGCAGGTCCTGTATTACTCTCCATCTTCTCTCTGTTTCATTAACATCCCATCATTTTAACATGACCATCATCATCGCAAAATACTAGTTTTAAAGGGTTTTTTTTTTTTTTCAGGGAGAGCAAATGCTTCCTCTCACTCTAGATGTGCCTCTAAGTACAAGCAGCATCCAGTTATTAGGGACACAATCAAAGGCAGTCTACCCTCAAAAGTCCCTTGAAGCTCCGGCCGCGAGCTCTGAACTAGACAAAGCTATTGCTGCAGGTCAGGATTCATTCCAGATGCTGGGACCTGCAAGCAGGGAACAAAGGGTCTCCAGAGAAAGGAGACAGGGGCTGTGGAGACATGTTTGATACAGTCATGCCCTGAAATTGCTCATGAGATATCTGGTCTGTGATGCTTTGACAAACCATTGCATTCTCTTAGGTTACCCAGTTGCCACTAATCACAACACTGTTGTAGCTTATCTAAACTAAAAGGGACCCCTTAAATTATCAGGGAGGATGTGCAATCTTGACACTCCTTTAATAAATGAAGATTATTGAATTATTGTAATATTCCAGTTGAAAGGTCTTTTTACTTACATTCGTCTAATGATTTTTTTTCTGTAAAAGCCTCAGTTTGTACCAACAAGTAGGATCACTGAGTTCACTACTACCTGCCAAACTTCAACACCTAAGGTGAATAATTAAAGTAGGATTTAGCCATTTGTGTCATGTTTCCCATATGAAGGGTAAGACTTTATCAAGGGCCAAGTGTCACCATCATTAATGAGGTTCAGAGAGTGAAGCACTAATACATATTTTTAACTATTATTTTTTGGTTTTATTAGAGTGATACATGTTTAATAGGAAAAACTTACAGAATAAAGTAAATAAGAGATACATAAGAGAATTTAAATCTCCCATTATCTTACTGTCTGGAGTTGATGACCATTTTAGATATTTTAATGTATTTTCCATATTTTCTATGGTTTATATATGTGTCTGTGTACGTATGTAATCATATATATAGAGAGAGACATTGACTAATTCAGTCTATGGATATGTATTTGCCTAGAAATATGTTGTCTATGTAATTCCTACATCGTTTTTTTGTGTTTCCCAAATGTCCAATTATCCAATTACATTATAGTCTTCTAATGTCTGTTATCTGAAGTTTACATTTTAGAGAGAATATTTTTTAACCTGTAGGGCTTTTCAGTTATACCAATCACACACAAACGTGTGTGAGGACACCTGGAAAACTCTGCAACTTTATTCATACTTCATAACAGACAGATTAGATAGGATTGATAAATCCCAGCCAACCCTGAGCTAGATTACTGACATGCTTGCACCAGGGAACCAAAGGCAAGTAAACCTCTGTTGGGAAGAAGTCAGGAAGCACACTGTGTTCTCCATCCATAAGTCTTCTGCATCCTCAGAATCAGAAGATTTCTTGGCTCAGGCCAGCTCTACGGAATCGAGTTCTGAATGAGCCATCACAATGATATATGCTTGCTAAAGCCCATCTTCTACAGCTCTGCTTTTTAAAGTGTTTTTAAAGTGTTTATGAGTAATAAGTATCACCCAATACCATCAGGTTTTGAGGGAAATTATAATTAATTATAAATAAGGTGGCTACCAAATAATGAAAGCATGTTCTTTATTATTTAAGGAAAGTACGAAAACACAGAAATTCAGGCCTTGGGGTGATGACTTGAATGAAGAGTCTCTTGCATCCTTTGAGCTTTCTGTCAGCCAAAGAGGCAGGAAGACAAACACAGAAGGGTTGGACTCTGATGTGGAGTATATTTTGGACACTAAAATGAAGAAGTCTACACAGAAGAAAGTGAAGCCTCAACAACAGAGACATCCAGCAGCCCTGCCGGAAAACACTCGACTAGCCCAGAGGTCCCAGGTATTTGTTTTTCTTTTCTTATCCACAGATGTATAGTAATTAATTTATTCTAGAAATAGCATTAGGTAAAGTTTTGCTTCATTGTCATGTTTTTAAGGCACTCTAATTATAGCATACATACATATTGTCTCTCAGTTTCCAGGACAAGGTCCCAATTTCTTTCTTTTTCATAATTAAGTTTTAAATTTTATTTAAATTCAATTTGCCAACATATAGTATAACACCCAGTGCTCATCCCATCTAGTGCCCTCCTTAGTGCCTTTCACCCAGTTACCCCATCTCCCCACCCACCTCCCCTTCTGCAACCCTTTGTTCATTTCCCAGAGTTAGGAGTTGCTCATGGTTTGTCTTCCTCTCAGATTTTTTTTGCCACTCAGTTTCCCCTCCTTCCCTTATGGTCCCTTTCACTATTTCTTATATTCTTCCACATATGAGTGAAACCATATGATGATTGTCCTTCTTTAATTGACTTATTTCACTCGGCATAATAAGGTCCCAATTTCTATTTTTTCTTCTTTGTTCTCTTTTGGAGGAAATGTCAGATGTCTCATATCAGCACATCAGCACAGTATGTAATGCTCAGCCAAATGAAGGGCCCCAAAGAGTGCCAGCATGGGAAAAGGATTTAAAATCTGTGTTTAAGAGAAAAGTGTTCATGGAGAGTAAGCCTGTAATCTGGAGGATTCTGCATTCAGTGCTTTAGAGCAAAAATGCTGAGCCAAATTTTATAATAGGTAGTTCACCCAGTAGTCAAGGTTCTGGAAAAATGGGATATAAACTTGATAATACTTTTAAGTGGTAAGACTGATTTTAACAAATGTACCACCCCACAATTTCCAAATGAATTTGTTTCACCTTCATTCTGACAATATTATTCTTATTTAATTCCTTTTTGAGAACTTGTTCTCACATTTAGCTTATAATAATAAGAATACCTATGATTGAATGGTCATTTACCTTGTGCCAGATTCAGCTGGAGGTTGTAACGGACAATATCTCACTGCCATTTAAAATTTTTTATAAGGCAAAATGCATTGTCTAGTTTATCTGCCTTGTTTAGCAAATTTGACTTCTAATGCCTTCTTACTATATCTCAAAACTAAATTTACCTTTAAAGGGTAGAGATGAGTTACCAGAGAAAATATTCAAATGCATTGTCATAGGCTCTGAAAGCAGTAAACTAATTTAATCAAAAAATATCTACTGAACTTTGCCTTGTGTAGAGATACTGTGTTAAGCATTATGGGAGACAAGATGTTTTAGGCATGGTTCTTTCAAAAGAAATTATCCTGAAGAATTGTTACACTGCGGAAATATTTCACATGTTCTTTTATAAAATCTTTGGCAAACAGTGTATAGACTCTTCTAGGAAATCTTTAGTGACAGAAACTTACTACCTCCTAAGGTCACCTTTCTCATTACATTTTTGGGTAACTCATTCTCTTAAAATATTTGAAGTCCAGTTCCCTGTGATTTTGAAATTTGAGCCCTAAATCTTTCTTTGAGGCTATAGAAAAAAACCTATTTACAATTGACAGAATTATTTGTCATAGTTACTTTGAATTATATACATACAAGTTTATAGATTCAGGAGATAATTATTTAACCTTTGCCTTGTCTAAAATGCATGTTTATAATATAAAAATTATTATATCACTTTATAGTCATCTCTCTTTTAACCCTGATTTCCATTTGTTAACTGGACAGTTTCAAGATTTGGAATTTGTTGACATTTTATGAGTAGATTGCAAACTGTTAAAACATATAAATGATTGAGAAGTTGAAGTGTGCACAGGTGTTAAAACATTTTAGACTTTCAATATAGAGATTCATTAAGTGTGAGGTGTGTGTATGAAAATCATCTGTTATGTATACCATTTAGTATGCTAGCCAGCTATGGGGGATCTAACTGTGAGCACACACACACACCGTCCCTACCCATGTTAAACTTACCTAGAGCCAGAGATTCCAAAAATCAGACAAATGTAAACTACTATTGTGGCAGTTTTTAATGACTTAGTAGCATCAGTACTCGTAATAGGGGATTTGACCCTGCCTGAGAAGATTGACTGGAAAAAAATGATGAAAAATCCTGAAAAAATGATGACTGAATTTTTAGGCTTGAGTTCCAGTTGGTAAAAAGAGAGGAAGAGCATTTCCAAACAATGCAGACATGTGTGAAAAAAGGACGCTGGTGAAAAAGAGTATCTTAAGAAAGCAAAGAAGCTCTGGCAGGGTGGAGATGGAAAAGGGCTAAGGTGGGAGATGCGTAGGAGTGAGCAGAACCATGCAGGTCCTCTAGGCTTCGACAAGGGGTTTTGCATGTATCCTAAAAGCAATGGGACACCATTGAATGGAAGTGATGTGATTATATTTTCTTTTTTTTTATAAATTAATTTTTTATTGGTGTTCAATTTACCAACATACAGTGCTCATCCCGTCAAGTGTCCCCCTCAGTGCCCGTCACCCACTCACCCCCACCCCCCGCCCTCCTCCCCTTCCACCACCCCTAGTTCGTTTCCCAGAGTTAGGAGTCTTTATGTTCTGTCTCCCTTTCTGATTATTTCCCACACATTTCCTCTCCCTTCCCTTATATATTTTCCTCTAGAAAAGATTGCTGGCTGAGCGTAGAAGCCTGCAATGTGTGGGCGGAGCAGTCGGGGGAGCTGTTAACCACGGTCTGGTGGGGAAGCACAGGCAGCTTGGGCTGGGGTCATGGCGGTGAAGCAGAGAGGAGAGAGAGAGAGAGAGAGAGAGATGAGAGAGAGAGAGAGAGTGTGTGTGTGTGTGTGTGTGTGTGTGTGTGTGTGTTCCTTGTGTGTTTGTCTTGAGGAGGGGACACTGACCCACGTTGGTGATGTTTTGGGTTTAGAAGGTGAAGCAGAGGGAAAGGGCTAGGACAGTTTCTGGCTCTTGCACCTGGTTGGATGGTGGTCCCATTCTTTGAAGTAGAGAATCCTAGAAAGTGGCTGGGCCTGTGAGGGGCAATCAGTTTCTGTAGTTTGAAGCCTCGAAGAGGACATGCCAAGGGAGGAGTAAGAGTAAGAAAAGAAGAGAAACTAGACAGAAGGCTGAGGGATTTTCCCATCTAGGGGCTGGCTGTCGGGTGAGCATGCCCAGGGGATGGTGAAGGAATGGCCGGACAGGAAGAGGACATACCAGGCGCTTGTTTCATCAGTAAAGCCAAGAGGGAGAAAATGTCAGTTCAAGGAGAGGTAGTCATAGAGGTTAGATTCTTTTTTTTTTTATTTTTTTTTATTTTTATTTATTTATGATAGTCACAGAGAGAGTGAGAGAGGCAGAGACACAGGCAGAGGGAGAAGCAGGCTCCATGCACCGGGAGCCCGACGTGGGATTCGATCCCGGGTCTCCAGGATCGTGCCCTGGGCCAAAGGCAGGCGCCAAACCGCTGCGCCACCCAGGGATCCCTAGAGGTTAGATTCTATTGAAAGGCCTGAAAATGTCCATTTACTTAACGACTTAGGGGTACTAGGGATGATCTCAGGAAGAATTTTGTTGTTTTCCGTTGACATGAAGGGGATGGAAACCAGATTAGAATGGAATTATTAGCAAGAAGAAGGTGAAGACATGGAGAGAGTTTGTATGTCAACTTTTGGAAATGTAAGATAATTTCACTTCAGAAGATACTCTAGACAAAAATCTAGAATCGAGGCAGAGAGATCAGGAGACTCTGAAATTCCCTAACATTTGAAAAATGAGTTTAGCCAACCAAGTTTTAAACTGCAACTGAAACAACTTGCAATTACTTGAGGATTATTTGCAGTAAATACCTAATATCCTGTCTAATAAGCACACCGGGCATTACCACTACCAGAGGAGGTTTAGAAAGCTCATGGAATTAGGAAGGCAGATATGCTCCGCGTCAGTCTTACAATGTGCTCTGAAAGCTTGATAACAATGGCTCTGCAATTAGCTAATGTTTTAGCTTAAATGTACCACAGTTTGGCTTTATTAACCCAGGTAATTAATTGTTCTTCCTAGAGAATTGTTTTAATCACACCCATGTGTTTCTCAGAAGGTTCTACCTTCTTCATCCTAAACCATGTTTCCCCCATCTCCTGAAAGCAAGACTCCCAGTAAAAATAATATTCTTGTTGTTTCCTACATCTGCAGCTGTTAATTCCTTTTAATTTTCTCTCAGTGCCTTTCGTTAATCTGTTTCACTGAACAAACACATGTTAAGCATTTATGCTGGGCCAGGTGCTAAGGACTCAGATTGACACAGTTCTTGCTCCCCAGAAGCTGAGAGTCTACCTGTAGCCATTCCAGTCAAAGGAGACTTCTCCCTGCATCACACGTTTTTTTTTTTTTTTTTGTACCAGGTGTTTCCCATCTTTTCAAATATGAGGACTTGTTTTTAAAAAATGACTGCAGACATCTCATGTAATACCAGGCATGCCTAGTATCTGTTGATTAAGAACTACAGGAGAGAAAGCCATCAGAGATATTTTGAAGTGAATGCATGTCTTATGTCCCTACAGCAACATATACATAAATTTTAAGAACAACGTGTATATCCATGTCAGACATTATTTATTCAGTGTATGGGCAGTAATTCATGGAGATCATTTGCAAAATACTATAAGCCCTTTGATTCACTGTGGAGCCCCATAGTCTACAACCACTCATTTCACAGTTAATTTGCCTCATGATACTCTTTTTTTTATTGTTGTGTATTGTTATTTAACTTTTACAAGTGCTTATTTAAATCACATGCTTCTTGAGGGCAAAGATCAGAAATTGAATTTCCCGTTTAACCCACAGAAGTTTGCTTCTGTACGGAAGTGAATAGAGGCTGAATAAATGTGGCTTAATGTATACCAGTGATTGCTACTAACCCTTATATATCTTCTGTTAATATCTTGGAAAATGAATAGGAAGCAGAGTCAAAACATTATGCAGGAGTGCAAGGCTTTGATTGGAGTTGAAACAAGTGACAGTGATCCAGATATAATCTTGGTGAGATAAATTTTATAGGTTAAATGACGCCTTGAGTTTGATTCACGTTCATGAAGATTAAAGGAATTTAAGAAGCATGTCATACTAGTACCTCAAAGTAACTGTGAAACATTTAATAACCTAGTTTTTAGATGAAGAAACAAGACTCAGAAAAGTTACATATCCAAGGTTACACAGGAACCTAGTGAAAATAGAACTGGGATTTGTACCTCCGGACCACTAGTTCATGATGCTTTTCACATTAGTAGTCAGGGTGAGAAAGATTTAATAGTATGCAAACCCATATAAATTACATCTATAACTTGAAGGTCATCCTGAACTCTTCATGCCCTAAGCATATGACCCTTTCCATAAGTCATGGTATGGATCCCCACCAGAAAGTGACTTAACTGACTTACCTTAGGCCACTGCCAAAAGCCCTAGAGAAATCTATTAAAGAAATACAAATGTGTTTGTTTATCCTCTAGATTATGTATCCCTGATTCTGACTTTGGTGGTCCTTATCGAAGAACTATGTATCTGACTCTCCTGTAGATCGCAGCAGAGTTGCTTTGTCTCACTGATCAAAGTAAGGAAGAAAGCCTTTGGTATTTAGAAAGAACTGACTCAAGGACTGGCCACGTGAGGAACACTTCATCTGCAAAGCCACGCGACAGACATTGTCCGTTATGCCATTTAGTGT